ATATAGCGTGTGCCATGCAGCAACATCAGCGGTACGGCGGAGTCGAAATACAACATTTCAACGAATACCAATGCCATAAGCGCGAAGGCCTTTCCCAATTGAGAACTGGTGGTTTACAACAATTATTATGACGACGACTTTATTCACTCCCAAAGCAGAAAAAGAAAGCTTGAAAGGAGGCATGAAGCACAGCACCGGGATCCATATGACCCAAGGGTGAAGCACCAATCAATGAAGATAAAAGAAAATCCTGAACAAAATTTTGATAAACTTCATGAGAGAAAAATTCAACTATACCAACTTCGATACTCACATAACATCACAGTCATGTATAACAGATCTACTGAAGTAGTAAACACCAAGCATGCTGCACATGGGACACTCCAAGCAAGACAAACTCAGACGAGATAAAACGGCATATGCAGAGAAAGTCAATACATGACTGGGGGCATATGGCAGAAATTCACGCCTCTCGGCTCGTCACACAGCACATGATGCACCACAATCATAAAACACACAGACTGAGACACATCGAGACATTACAGGCAGGCTAACATAAGGTCAACCGACCGTTCCGACCATGCCATTCTCCCATCCATGGATGGGAGAGTGGCATGGTCACCGACCGCACTATTCTCAGGGTGCCCAGAATAGCACATTGCTGCAGCCGCTGGATCACGGACGCGTGGAGCCCAAGGCTTAAGATGTTGCTGCGGCTCGTTCCTGACACACCACCCAGAGCACCAATGATAACTGGAACAATAGTTATCTTTTTGTTCCAGATCCTCCTCAGCTCTGCGGCCAAGGGCAGGTATTTGCTGATCTTCTCCTGCACCTTCTCATTGACCCTGTGGTCCAATGGGACACTGACGTCCAAGAGCAGTGCCCGATCATCCAGAACCAGCACCAGGTCTGGTCTGTTCGCTTTTATTACTCGATCTGTGGGAATGGAAATCTCCCACATAAGCTTGCAACTGGCAGAACTTGTGACCTGTACCAGCTGCTTACTGCTGGGTAATCCATGCTGCTTACACAGCGCACGATGCAGGGCCTGGACCACAAAGTTATGCCGGGCAATGTATGCAGTCCGTGCCAGGGCTGGACAGCAGGCGATGATGTGGTCCATATTTTCTCCGGGTGCACCACATACACGACAGAGGTCCACGACATCATGCCTCTTGTGGATATGGCGCATATTGTTTCTCGTGGCAATCACCTGATCCTGGCAAGCAATGAGAAAGCCTTCCGTTTCAGGACGTTTCCGTTTCAGGACGCATTGTATTATTATTATTATTATCGTCCATCAAGCGTCATTTGTCGGGCTATGCTAGTTGTCGTAAGTTGTATAGTGATGATATCTTTTCCATTTTGACTCGGGGAAGGTCTAAGTTACATCTTGCTGTGTTAGAAGCTCTGTATATTCGTAAACTAGATCCAGAACTATGTGTACAAAAGGAGAATGTGTTATCGTTGCAGTTGTTTGGTGTCACACCTCGCAAAAGTGTGACAAGTGTACCCTGATGTGTTAAACGTGTTTGTCTACAACTTGCAGCTGTTTGTTTTTGAGTTTCTAACACTTTAGTCATCTTAACACCTATGTTGAAGTGTTGACTTTTTTCTTTCTTTCATTCTCTATAAGTTATGTGTTTTTTTCAAATTTACAACATTCCCTGTACTATCCTGAAGAGAAGGGAAAGAAAACGTTTGATAGAAAAGAAGTGTCTACTGAATTGTGTTGATTTGCGTCGTTGTATGCGAATACTTATTACGAAACTGTTTTCCCACCGCCTCCAAAGTACTGTTTGAATTATTATAATGTCTCCTTTATTCACTTCCTTCGAAGGCGATAAGCCAGACCCACCGGGAAATATTTCCATGGGTGGGACAGCAAAAAGAAAGTGAAAAAATAAAAAAGAATACCTACCAAAGGGACAAGAAATAGTTGAAGGAAGAGGAAGAAAGGAAAGAAACTCAATCCGAACTCCAACATCAAAACAATAATAGAGAATTTGCAGCGACAGTCAAAATACATCAACCAATGAAGGAGTAACAAAGGAAAATTAATATCAGTCTTTATCAGTCGTTATTCAAGTCTCTTAGCTATTGAACATGCAAACGCAGCAGAGGTGCATCTACTGCCTAACAACAGTCGTCATGCCAAGCTTCCAGTCAGTGTGGGTAGAGCTTGCACTCTCAGATCGTACAGTCACCGTGGGATGCACGTATCGACCACCAAACTCTGATCCGAATTTATTCTGCCGCGAACTTGAATTGTGTCTCAGGAAATGTAACACCACAGCGCCATTCATCCTCCTCGGCGACCTAAATTCCAAGAACAGCTCTTGGTTGGATTCTGATGTCACAGACAGAGCTGGTGACGCACTTAGCTATCTTATCGATGCATATGGTTTCCATCAGCATGTAAACTTTGCCACCCACATCTGCCGAGGCTATCTAAATTCGTGCCTCGATCTAGTCATCTCCAATCTCCCTCCGGAGGATGTCACACTTTCTTCCAGAGCACCGTTTGGGTGTTCAGATCACGTAGCAATCCAGGGAACTATCTCCATGCAGCCACCAGCAGATGAGCGTGGCAGACGTAACCTGCCACCTTGGACCTGGAACTGGAATTCAGAGAACGTTGGCGCCCTGAGAGAAGCGCTAGCTTATACTCAACTCCTGCCACCCGACATTGACTTGCCGTCATATTCGCTGACCGAACTGTGGTCGCTCTGGCGTGACACTCTGCTTCGCACCGCACATCAGTTCTGCACTCAACTCCGGTTGACTAGATCATCTGCAGTGTCTCAAAAACGCCCATGGATGACGCCTGATCTGCTAAATAATATCCGTACAAAGCACAGGTTATACAGGAAATACCTCCGGACACGGACGGCTGAAGACTGGGACCAGTTCACAACTCAGCGAAACAAGACAACAACTCTTCTCCGCAGTGCCAAGTCCAAATTCGTTCATAAATCAGCCAATGCCGACAACCACTGTGACCAAACCCATACAAATCACCCAAACCTCTACAAACTTATGAAGACCCTTCGAATTTCACCAAGAAAGGAAATGCCAGCTTTGAACCATGATGGCAGGAAGCACACATCGAACTTAGAGCAGGCAGAAGCATTCAACAGCTTCTTCATTTCAGAAAGCAAGAAGTCCGTCTCAGTTGACAACGAGCCAGTCGGCGGCATCCTTCTACCAACATCCGGCGAGAGAGAGCTTGCCCAAATCACCACCACACCCGCCGAGGTAGAACAACTCCTAAGAGCCCTTAATCCTTGCAAAGCCCCTGGGTTTGACGACATCCCAACAAGACTCCTCAAGACCACGGCGCGTGAGCTGTCGCCGTCACTCTCCCGACTTTTCAATGAGTCATTTCGGAGAGGTGAACAACCACAGGACTGGCGTGATGCCACTGTGAGCCCACTATACAAGAAAGCCGAACGATCATTGGTAACAAACTACAGGCCTATATCACTTCTCAGCGTTATCAGTAAAGTGCAGTAGAGGATCGTCCACAAGCGACTCTACACGCACGTCACACCCTTCCTCCCAGTGGATCAATCCGGTTTTCGTGCCAATGATAGCACCGAACTCCAGCTCGCCAGACTCGTGCACGAGGTTTCCTGTGCCGAGATAAAGGTCTTTCCGTCACAGCTTGCTTTTTTGATCTCTCGAAGGCTTTCGACAGAGTCTGGCACGCCGGTCTCCTCAAGAAACTGCAACACCTCGGCCTGAAAGATACCGCCCTGCAATGGATGGTCAGCTACCTCACCCATCACCGTCAACGTGTTCGTGTCGGCGACGCCTTCAGTGAGTGGCAAGCCATACCAGCAGGGGTGCCCCAAGGATCCGTTCTAGGCCCCCTGCTGTTCTTGATCTACACCATTGACCTGCCCTCTGCCTGCACCAACTCGAACACAAAGTGCAGCCAATTTGCAGATGACACGGCGCTCATCGCAACACACCAGAGCCGTTTGACATCGGAGTTTTCCCTGCAGTCAGCCGTTTCAGCTGCCGCAACCTGGCTGCGCAGATGGCACCTCCTCGTCAATGCCTCAAAGACCGTTACCTTGTCGTTCACACCAAACCACCAACTCAACATCACTCTTAACGGCACGCCCCTAAAGCAAGTCAAAGAACACCGTCACCTTGGAATCATACTACAAAACAACCTCCAATGGAACTCACATGTCACGCACATAATAAACAAATCCAAAAAACTCCTTCACCAACTTCGTAAAACACGAGGCCAACTTAACACCCCCAGTCTGCTCGTAATCTACACCGCCTACATTCGCCCGGTTATAGAGTACGGCAGTCTCGTGTTATCCAACACCACCCGCACACAGAAGGACCAATTAGAACGCGTTCAGCGACGAGCAGCCCGTATCTGCCTGCGGATCCCCCTTTTTGCACCAGTCCATCACAGCTCACTTCTTCATCATCTCCAACTCCTCACATTAGTCTCCCGGCAACTCTTACGACAGGTTACTCTTGCCCACAACATCAAGTACATCCGCGCTCCCCTTCACCTGCAACAGCCTCACCTTGCACGACCAATCACAGAGCAGCCATATGCACTACGACACATGAGAACATACACATTGAGAACATCACACACATACCAACACACCAACTCACCCATCAACCTGTCCCTTCACAATTTCAACCAACTACCCCCCGACCTGCGTGAAACAAATAGCAAGCATGCGTTTTTAAAAATCAATGGCGTCTAGCCTCATTCTATCATCCATATGCTCCTGTAGTAGCTCACACTGTACCCCATCGTGACCCCATCCCCTGCCATGTGTCAGTTTCCTTACTTGCTAGACTGATTTTATATGATTCTGGACTGATTTGAATCATATTATCTTCCTTATTGGCCATGGGCCATCGTGGAAATAAAGAATAATCTACATGCTAAGCCACTGAACGCGTGAAAATGCGCAATTGCAGTTCACTCCACCATTTCCATCATAACTTACGTTCTGTTTGCTTGATTTTGACAGTCTGGGGCTCTTTGAAACGCTCTTTCCGCTGCCAAGAGAATGAGGCCACGCTCAACTCCGTGGGTGCCACAAAGCCTGCTCCAGAGCGCAGGGAATCGCCATAGGTCGGGCCTCGTGTTGAAAGAAATACTTCTAAATTTCATCCCAATGCCATTTCGCTATCGTTTCTTGCACAGCTCTGGATTTTTTTGCATCTCAATCAGTAGTTTCGACGTCATTACACCCACACGTCATCAGCTGGCTGCACACCACGTGATCCACGGGAAATCCCCGAAGCACGAGGCAAAAAAATGATTTTGAGACGTTTGAACAATTATTTAGTGCCGCGATCAAACTTTCGAGCGCCATATCTTTATCATCTTTTCTCCTATCGCAAAAGCGATTACACCATTGGAAAGCTTGGAGCTTCCTCTTTGATCTACAGATTTCGATATTTGCAACAGGACAAAAATCGATGGAGTTACGACAGTTTTACGGTACGTACACAATATCAGTCGTTAATGACTGATGCACCGCTAAGGTGAGACAGACGTCGAGGACCCTCGGTCATTCGCAACGCTGTCACCTCCAAACCAACTACTGTAAATATACAAATTTTCGGCAGCTATTTAATTTCGGCTATATTCGGCACCGACCCAAAACGCCTAAATTAAAACGCCGATGAAATTTTCACAACATCTGTCGCACTATACCATGCCCTCTACCCCACGCCGAAAATAAATCGCCGCCGAAATGTCAAAAATCGTGAAATGCCGAAATTTTGCAGCGCCGAAATTTTGTATATTTACAGTAGTCGCAAGCCCGCGCTGGGCACAACAGTACAGAGTAGTGGTTGCGACTTCGGCGATGATTAGTAAGAAAGGGTTGCTCTCCACACCGTCCAGGAGCGACACTGACTCACGCTGCTATCTGGTGTTCACGAGGTGTTTGTCGCGCTGGAAACGGAGCGTCTCTGTAAGTTTGTATCCCTGGTGATGTTTGTGCCTGGAGAGCACTATATAAGTGGTGCTCTTCAGGCACAATCTTCCTCAGCCTACTCAAGCTCAACTGATGAGGGGTGAATTCCCCGAAACACTGTGTATCGAGCAGGGAGTGGTGCTTTCTTGCAGGTTTGCCGAGTCGAAGGTTTGATGGGCTTCTCATGTGCTCTGGATGGCAGTCGTGAGTCAGTCAAGTGTCAAGTAAAGTCGGTGGAATAGCGCGAGCTCCCGTGTGGAGAGCAACCCTTTCTTACTAATCATCGCCGAATTCGCAACCACTACTTTGTACTCTTGTGCCCAGCGCGGGCTTGCGACTAGTTGGTTTGGAGGTGACAGCGTTGCGAATTACCCAGGGTCCTCGACGTCTGTCTCACCGTCCAGGAGCGACACTGACTCACGCTGCTATCTGGTGTTCACGAGGTGTTTGTCGCGCTGGAAACGGAGCGTCTCTGTAAGTTTGTATCCCTGGTGATGTTTGTGCCTGGAGAGCACTATATAAGTGGTGCTCTTCAGGCACAATCTTCCTCAGCCTACTCAAGCTCAACTGATGAGGGGTGAATTCCCCGAAACACTGTGTTTTTGTTTTTTTTGTTTTTTTTTGTTTTTTTACTACGTTCACATAACCAGCTCGAAAAGAATAAGGAAAGACAATGTTACGGAGACTAGGACAAACGTGACAGCTAATGAGCAGGCGCTGCACCGAGATGCAGCAGTGATGGTGGGGCATTGATGACTCTGCCGACCTGAGGTCTTGGCGTCACGGCCAAAAACACGCACCAAAAACAATGAAAAAAGAAGAAGATAGAGCTGTACAGGTGAGAAAGATGCAAAAACCCAAGGCTTAACACGAGCGATTGTGGGGGAGAAACTGTCTTAGCGTCATACTATTCATAGGGAATCGACTGCCCAGAGCCAGTTTGTGCTGCGAAGATGGCGGTAAAAATTCGTTTTGAATGATTGCATTCTCTTGCTGTGGGGAGGCTTGGATAGGAGAGCGGCAGTGAGGGAGTTCCAATCGCTGATGCTGCAGTGTGGGAACGAGCGCTTCAGTGCCAGCGGGGCAGATGCAGGCAGCTGGTGTTGGAGCTGGTGGTCATGGGCCACATGGCCACTGACAGCACCGTGCTCGCTGCGAGTTCTGGGGTTGGTAGAGATGATGTGGCGCGGTGGCAACACAGAGAGCAGCTGCGGAGGACCAGGCAAGTAGTGCAGCTTGTACAGGCAGGCAAGCGAGGCAACAGTGCGGCGGATGGCCAGGCTGGGTAGGTGTGCCCCAGGGCCGATAGCATGAAGCGCGCGGCGCTGAACATTGATCAGACGCTGGAGGTGACTCTGCGCAGCTCCCATCCATACAAGAGGCGCATACTCCATGACTGGTCGTACGAACGCCTTGTATACGGTCGTCCGGCCGGCGGGGGTGAGTATGTGGGCGGCTCTGTTTAGGACCCCAAGCCGTTGGCGTGCACGGGTGGCTACGGAGCGTAGGTGATCGCTGAAGGTCAACTTGGCGTCCACCTTCACACCAAGGAGGGTGATGGTGGTTGTCTCGGGCACCAGTGTGCCACCAAACAGGATTGGGGTGAGATCTAAGCCGGTACGTCTGAGGGTGGCTGTCATGGCCTGGGATTTGGTCGGTTCAAACATCACTTTCCATGTACGACCCCACTCGTGCAGTCGGTCAACGGACACCTGCAGTGACTGCGCGGCCACTGTTGGGGTCTGCTGGGAGGTGACTAAGCTGTACAAAGTTGTATCATCAGCATAGGCTTCCAAGCTGGCGCCGTCAGCGAGAACATCTGGCGCGTCGTTGACGTAGGCCAGGAAAAGCGTTGGTCCAAGGATGCTTCCCTGGGGGACTCCAGCGGAGGTCGTATACCTAGATGACGTCCGCCCTCCAACGAGGCACTGTAGGGAACGGGTGTCCAGGTATGACGCCAGCCATCTCTGAAGCGGACCATCTATGCCTAGGCTACGTACCTTGTGGAGGAGGCCGACATGCGAGACACGATCAAACGCTCCTGCGATGTCCACAGCAAGGATACGAGCCGCCCCTCCACAGCCCACAGCGCTTGCCCAGGCAGTTTGGAGAGCTTGCAAAGCGTCCGATGTTCCGAGGCCTCTGCGAAATTCAAACTGGTGCGACGTGAGCAGATGATGGTCTTCAAAATAGTTTACGATGTGTCTGTTTACAAGAGTTTCCATTACTTTCGAGATTTATGCACAGTAAGGATACGGGCCTGTAGTTCTTAAGGGTTGAGCGGGAAGATCGCTTGTGGATCGGAACCACGTTGGCCGTCTTCCACATCCTAGGTTGCACTCCAGACCGGAAGCATAAAGCAAATAACTTGGACAATGGCTCTGCGAGCTCATGAGCACATTCCTTAAGGACGCGAGCAGAAATACCGTCAGGCCCGGTAGCCTTGGAGACGTCGAGCCTTGCCAGGAGGCGGCGGACAGCCTGTGGGCGGAAGCGGATGGTGCGAAGAGGTGGAGCCTCTGAGGGAGCAGGGTCCGGTAGGTCAGCCTCCACAAGGTGCGGACCGGCAACGCTACATTTCTTCGAGAAGAAGCGAGCGAATGCCTCTGCTTTCTCTGAGCTCGTGGCCCACTCGCAGCCGTCAGAGTCGACAACTAGGGGAATTTCGGGCTGTATGCGGTTGCCAGCAGCGTATTGAGCAGGGAGTGATGCTTTCTTGCAGGTTTGCCGAGTCGAAGGTTCGATGGACTTCTCGTGTGCTCTGGATGGCAGTCGTGAGTCAGTCAAGTGTCAAGTAAAGTCGGCGGAATAGCGCGAGCTCCCGTGTGGAGCGCAACCCTTTCTTACTAATCATCGCCGAAGTCGCAACCACTACTTTGTACTGTTGGGGCCAGCGCGGGCTTGCGACTAGTTGGTTTGGAGGGGACAGCGTTGCGAATGACCGAGGGTCCTCGACGTCTGTCTCACCGTCCAGGAGCGACGCTGACTCACGCTGCTATCTGGTGTTCACGAGGTGTTTGTCGCGCTGGAAACGGAGCGTCTCTGTAAGTTTGTATCCCTGGTGATGTTTGTGCCTGGAGAGCACTATATAAGTGGTGCTCTTCAGGCACAATCTTCCTCAGCCTACTCAAGCTCAACTGGTGAGGGGTGAATTCCCCGAAACACTGTGTATTGAGCAGGGAGTGGTGCTTTCTTGCAGGTTTGCCGAGTCGAAGGTTCGATGGACTTCTCGTGTGCTCTGGATGGCAGTCGTGAGTCAGTCAAGTGCCCAGTAAAGTCGGCGGAATAGCGCGAGCTCCGGTGTGGAGAGCAACCCTTTATTATCTCTCCTTTATTCACTTCTTTCGAAGGCGATAAGCCAGACCCACCGGGAAATATTTCCATGGGTGGGACAGCAAAAAGAAAGTGAAAAAACAAACAAAAATAAATAAATAATAAAACTTAAAAACCAAAGGAACAAGAAATAGTTGAAGGAAGAGGAAGAAAGGAAAGAAACTCAATCCGAACTCCAACATCAAAACAATAATAAAGAATTTGCAGCGACAGGCAAAATACATCAACCAATGAAGGGAGTAGCAAAGGAAATATCAGTCTTTATCAGTCAGTATTCAAGGCTCTTAGCTATTGAACATGCAAACCCAGCAGAGGTGCATCTACATGTTAAGGATAGTTCTTAGTATTTTAATCGAACCTTGTATAGCCTCCTGTTGTACAATGGCCAGGTCTCCTCCCTGCACAGTCCGGAGGCATTGAGGAGTCTCCCTCACCAAGCCTCCCAGGGCACTGACAACCACACAGGGACCACGTCAACCTGGGTGAGGGACCAAATCCTCGAAATCTCCCGCTTCAAATCATAATATTTCGAGCGCTTTTCAGCCATTTTCTTATTGATGTTGTTCTCACCAGGAACGCTGATGTCTATAATGTAGGCAATGCGCTCCTTGTCATCAACAAGGAGCAGATCGGGCCCGTTTGCTGATAGTTTCAGGTCAGTTGGGACCGAATACTCCCAATAGAGCCGATACCGATCACTTTTGACCAATGCCTTGAGCTGGTGGTCAAATCGTGAAGCACCAGTAGGTAGATCTCGTGCTCTACACATTTCGAAGTGCACATATTTTACTATCCGGTTATGACGTTCGATGTAACTGGTCCGAGCAAGAACTGGGCAGGCACTGACAATGTGGTCAATTGTT